CTGGGGCTGCAGCAGCACTCAGCCGGAGGCAGAAAGTTTCCGAATGGGCCAGGAGAGCTCTTTGCCCCTCGTCCTCCCTGTTTCCAACCTTGTGGGGGAAGTCAAGGTTGGAAATCAGGACAAAGGATTTCCCTAGGAGGGTGGGGAAGCGCTGGGCTGGGTTCCCGAGGGAGGGGTGGAATCTCCATCCCTAGAGGTGTTTAGGGCTGCAGCAGCACTCAGCCGGAGGCAGAAAGTTTCCGAATGGGCCAGGAGAGCTCTTTGCCCCTCGTCCTCCCTGTTTCCAACCTTGTGGGGGAAGTCAAGGTTGGAAATCAGGACAAAGGATTTCCCTAGGAGGGTGGGGAAGCGCTGGGCTGGGTTCCCGAGGGAGGGGTGGAATCTCCATCCCTAGAGGTGTTTAAGTCCCAGCTTGACCAAGCCCTGGCTGGGCGGATTGAGTCAGGGTGGGTCCGGCTTTGGGCAGGGGGCTGGACTCAGTGACTCCTGAGGTCTCTTCCAGCCCTGGGATGCTAGGACTCTCTGTGGAGAAATCGTTCCTGGGTCCTGTAAAAATGCAAAGCTGAAATCTAATGCCAAGCTTTGTTGGTGTTCCTGCTCCTTTGCGGGCCGAGGCGGGGACACGTGTGAGAGATCCGTCCTTACCCACGGGAGCGTGACGCTGAGCTGTAAATCCACTTAGGGGCTCTTTTATTTACCGGCTTCTTTGGGGCACTTATCTACTGACAGCAGGAGTCAGGGTTCCCTGGTGCCTGCGGCCTTAACATCCAAGGGGGACGTGCCAATGCTAACGTGCTGAAAAGGACTAGTCCCCCAGCTGGCAGTGCTGTCCTGGCAGGAGAGGCGGCATCTGTCTGGGGCTGATAGCCACTGTGCATCCGTGGTTTTTCTGCAGGAAGATTAGCGTGCCCGGCATGGCGGGAGATAGGGTAAGTTAGGGCTGGCAGCTGCGGCTGGCAGGGTCCCATGCACGTGGGTCTGTCTGGTTTCCTCTTGCTGCTCACTTTTTCTTCTGCGAAGCGCCCTGATGCATTTCTGCACAACGACGCTGCTGGCGCCTCTGAAAGGAACCTGCTTCGTCAGGTCTCAGCCATCCCAAAGGACTCCCTGCAAATCCTTCCTCTTTACAGCCGCTGCACGACCAGGGGGCTCATTTTCCCGTTGAGGGTCACACACGTCTCGCCCTGTCAGCTCCTTGGGATACGGGGGCGAGGCAGCGCGAAGGAGGAACTGGCCGCGCGGTAGCAGGGAAGTGAAAGTTGTGTGGTAGGCTGGAAGAACAGCTGGCTGGAATATCTGGGGCTTGGGTTCGCCGCTGGGACCGGCCTCTTTGGAGGTGTGCTGGTCTGTGGATCTGCTGGGTGGCGGCCCCAGCCGCACACGGTTCACGCCAGTTAAGTCTCAGCCTGTCCCCGTGTCGATCTGCCTTGAAAAATAAACTCCCTGACCACTGGGTTCCTGGCAGATTGTCCCTCTGGGTTTGGACGGCTCCTGGAACCTGCTCCCTGCGCTGCAAAAAATTCAGAATGATCCTGGCTGAATGAGACGCAAGCCCCTTGTCGATCAGCTGTCCCCTTCTAGGCCCTGGTTTTTCCAGGGGCGTCCTCCGCGCAGCCCAAGTGTTCTCAAATAAGAACAACCCAGGAAACCGCAAACCAGTCTGTGTAACGTCTGTGCCAGGGAAGATAATGGAGAAGGTAACTACGGAATTCATCTGCAAACACCTGGACGATAATAGGGAGATAGGTAGCAGCCAGCATGGGTTTGTAAAGAGCAGATCATGCCGAACCAATCGGATAGCTTTTTTTGATAGGCTAACGAGTCTTGTGGCTAAGGGAGAAGAGGTGGATGGGGTATGCCTAGACTTCAGTAAGGCAGTTGACACGGTTTCGCATGAGCTAGGCAAATACAACGTAGATGGGGCTACTGTAAAGTGGGTGCATAACTGGCTGGAGAACCGTTCTCAGAGGGTACGTCTAGACTACAGGCTTTTGTTGACAGAGGCTTTGTCGACAAAGAGCGTCTAGACTACAGCCAGTTCTGTCGACAAAGCAAGCCGCTTTGTCGACAGAGAGTCTAGACGTTCTCTTTTGAAAAAGCAGAGTGTGGATGTCCACAGGACTCTGTGGATAAAAGGCGTTATTCCTCGTGGAATGAGGAGTAACGGTAGTTGGAACTAGGAAGCCTAGTTCGAACTACCTAGTTCGTGCCCCGTGTAGCCGCGCTGCACGGGGTTCGAACCAGCGGGGTTTTAAAAATGGCGGCTCCCCGCTTATGCAAATGAAGCCCGGGAAGTTCAAATCCCGGGCTTCATTTGCAAGTGCGGTATGCCTACATTACCCCGCTAGTTCGAACTAGGAGGGTAGTGTAGACATACCCCCAGAGAGTAGTTATTAACGGTTCACAATCCTGCTGGAAAGGCATAAGAAGTGGGGTTCCGCAGAGGTCTGTTTTGGGACCGGTTCTGTTCAATATCTCCATCAACGATTTCAATGTTGGCATAGAGAGGATGCTTATCAAGTTTGCAGATGATACCAAGCTGGGAGGGGTGGCAAGTGCTTTGGAGGATGGGTCATAATTCAAACTCATCTGGACACACTGGTCTGAGGTAAAGAGGATGAAGTTTAATAAGGACAAATGCAAAGTTATTTATTAGTTATTTATAAAAGTTATTCATTAGTTTCCATAATAGAAGAACTAGAGGACACCAAATGAAGTTAATGGGTAGCAGGTTTAAAACGAATAAAAGAAAGTTCTTCTTCACACAGCGTGTAGTCAACCTGTGGAACTCCTTGCCAGAGGAGGCTGTGAAGGCTAGGACTATAACAGAGTTTAAAGAGAAGCTAGATAATTTCATGGAGGTTAGGTCCATAAAAGGCTATTAGCCAGGGGATAAAATGGTGTCCTTGGCCTCTGTTTGTCAGAGGCTGGAGAAGGATGGCAGGAGACAAATCGCTTGATCATTGTCTTCGGTCCACCCTCTCTGGGGCACCTGGTGCTGGCCACTGTCGGCAGACAGGCAACTGGGCTAGATGGACCTTTGGTCTGACCCAGTACAGCCGTTCTTATGTTCTTATGTAAAGTGCTCCACTTAGGAAGGAACAATCGGTTTCACTCACACAGAACGGGAAGCAACTGTCTAGGAAGGAGTACGGCAGAAAGGGATCCGGGGGTCATAGTGGACCACAAGTTAAATACGAGCCAACAGTGTGATGCTGTTGCAAAAAAAGCAAACGTGACTATGGGCTGCATTAACAGGAGTGTTGTGAGCAAGACACGAGAAGTCATACTTCTGCTCTACTCTGCGCTGATTGGGCCTCGACTGGAGTATTGTGTCCAGTTCTGGGCACCACATTTCAGGAAAGGTGTGGAGAAATTGGAGAAGATCCAGAGAAGAGCAACAAGAATGATGAAAAGTCTAGAGAACATGAGCTATGAGGGAAGGCTGAAAGAATTGGGCTTGTTTAGTTTGGAAAGGAGAAGACCGAGAGGGGACATGAGAGCAGTTTTCAAGTACCAAAATGGGTGTCACAAGGTGGAGGGAGAAAAATTGTTCTCCTTTAGCTCTGAGGACAGGACAGGAAGCAAGGGGCTTAAACTGCAGCAAGGGAGGTTTAGGTTGGACATTAGGAAAAACTTTCTACCTGTCTGGGTAGTTAAACAGTGGAATACATTGCCCAGGGAGGTTGTGGAATGGCCATCTCTGGAGATATTTCAGAGCAGGTTGGACAGACAGCTGTCAGGGAGGGTGTAGACGGTTCTGGGTCTGGACAGGGGACTGGACTTAATAACTCTTCCAGTTCTAGTGTGCTATGAGTCTGTGATTCTAATCCAGGCAGGCCCTGCCCTGCCCCACTCCCCCAAATCACAAGTATATTTGGTACATGGAGTTATTTCTCTGTGCCCTTTGGGGGTTGAGTTTTTCGCCCTCATCTCTAGGGCTGGAAACGTACGTGTTATTCCCTAATGCTGATAGAGGGCTGAGCTTCTACGGCAACAAGGAGATGCTGAGGCTGGGGTTTTGTTTGAAAAAGAGCCCCCAACCTTCCTCGTATGGCGAGAGGGGGCAGTGCTATCGCCTGGCCAGTATTCCTGGTGCTTGAGTTCGGAATCCAGCACGCCAAGGGTACATTGGAGGGCCTGTCTTGGCTAGAGACGTTGTGCAGCAACCGGGAGCACTGGTCCTTGTGTGACGTCACCGGAGGAGCCAGCAGCACCGCTGGAAACAGGAGCCACAATCTCCTAAGCCCCCGCAAGACCCCCCTGCCGTTTGCAAGAGCTGCAGCCTCGGTTCCCTGCCACGG